ACCCCCCCCCCCCCCCCCCATAAAATCCCTATTCGAAACTTGCTAGACGTAGTACGCACACCCGAGGTCTCCACTCAGCACGCATACAAATACACTACCCCAAAATTATAAGGTTCTATCTGCTCAGTACCCAGTTTTGAGAAATTTGACTTTTAAAAGTTTGAGTTTCACAACAAGCCAAGCTTTTTCGAATGTAATTCTTTAAAATATCTTAATAACAACTCTGAATTATCTTACGATTTTGATAGAGCAGGAATAACATTTTGGTTTCTGACCTCATGGTTTTAGTAGCTCAAAACAGACAAAAAATTCAGATAGAACTTCATAATCCCGAGGTAGCGAAATGTTGGTCTCCGTGACGTCATTCGCCAAAGGTGCCTCTTGTTTTAAGAACAAGGGTCGAAATTCAGGCCTATTTACCTAGTTTGTACTGCTTTGTGACTGGTTTCTTAGTGTGACTGAAGCTCTACGAATCTAAAAAGAATGAAAGAAGCACTCATTATCTCACGAAATATTAGATTAGTACTTCTTATAGCCACTGTTTTCTTTTTTCATCTTTATATAACTAAAATTTCGAACCACTCACCTACATGTTTTACATACATGTATTTCAAAGCGTGGCAGGCATTTAATAACACCTGTCACTACCTGCCTGATCCCCACCGCCCACCAAAATGATCAAATTGCCCACTTACTGCCCATGTCGGCAAACACTACGCTAGATAAAGATAGTCTATTCATGTCACTTTATTTTCTCTGTTTATGTCCTGTAATTTTTGGCTGGTCGTGATGTGCCACATTATCTTTTCGTCTGTTTAGATAGACTTTTTTTCTCAAGAGATAAGACAATCCCACAGACTTTAATCTTTCCATCCTAGACAGCACACTGCCATTGCCTTGCTCTTTATAAAAGCCTTCGCTGCGTTGGTATGCATTTTTGCTGCTGTGGTATATACTTCAGCTGTGTTGATGTGCATCTTAAGTGCCCAAATGAAGGGACAAACACCAGGCGCGCAGCAGTCGAAATCGTGATCCCACCCTTTGCCCTTTTGGATCCAAATAGAGTCAACTTGTACGCGCAACTGTGAACCGGATGTACGTCAGAGTGCGCAGTCTAAGGTACTATAATTTATAAGTCAACAGGCAATCCTGGTGTTTCTTCGGTGTATTTAAACAGGACATGCACTCTCTCCCCACACCTCAAGGAGTCACAATGTCTTTATCTCACACTTCAGCCGTGTTGCTCCTGGTCACGGTCATGTTCTCTCCCTTTACGCCTGTAGCTGGTGACACGACGCTACCCACTGAACAGGCCGCTACAGCTTGCGGAGAGTCACTGGTCAACCCTAACAACAGGATTGTTGGTGGCAGTGTTGCTGCCCCTGGTGAACTTCCGTGGCAGGTGACGTACATATGTCGCTACCTTAAAATTACAAAATTACATCTGATTTTTTTTTGGCCGTTTTGAGTTAACGAGACAATGAAGTCAGAAACCCGATTTATGTTCTATCAGCTTAATCAAAAGTGTAAGACTATTTAGAGTTGTTATCAAGATATTCAAAGTATTACCTTCGAAAAAACTTGACCAAGTTGTGAAACTTCAAATGTGTAACTAACTATACATTTCTCAAAACTAGGTACTGGGCAGATAGAACTTTGTAATTCTAGGGTAGGGAAAAGCAGACGCTTCTCAAAACAATGACATCAAAGAACACTACCTTGTTTCGCCCTTTGCCTAATTGTCATTAATGTTCTTACATGTAAACAATTTTTAAATTCTTTTTTATTTCCTTTGCTCAACACCTTTCACGTCCATTCAAAATACGCTCCTGTGAAGATTTTCAAGAAAATTTTTGAATAAAATGTAAATTTGCAATTACAAAGGACCTTAAAGTTATGGGGGTCACCAAACTTCTTCTGCTATTATCTACTTAATATCCTTAACCTCTGACGCCAGGGGCCCACCTCATTCCATTGTAAATATTAACACTGTTAGGTTATTTAAGAGGCAGGACCTCCAAGTTTAACGTCCATCTCCGAAAGGACCGAGCCAAGTGGGAAGTTCGTGAAAGTGCATTTCCTAAGGACTCAACATCGGGCCCGACTGACGCTCGAACCCCGAGCCCAGAATCCCATGATTACGAGTCCGGTAGCCTAACCATTAGATCGCTCCCTCTGAATCGAGGGGATACAATATTATGCGTAAATTTTGCCCTCTCGACTCGGGTTCAAAGATCCTGTTTCAGAATCTCCGCATGCTCAATAGGATTCGAAAAGAACACTCGGGGAAAATGATAAGGGAGTAGAATGCTGCATTTTTAAAGGTCATAATCTGCCAACTTGCTACCCACAACCCACTTTCAAATACCCCAACATACCTGCCCCTATACTTTCTTCCCACCTAGCTCCTCTCGACACTCTTCTTGGCCCGATATAATAGGCTATCACTAACAATGTCACCTTAGCAGAGACTGAGCCCACCATTTCGGAACTTCACGGTGACCGTAAAGATGGTTCCAGCAGGGTGCCCACGTCCCTCGTGACTCATTGGAGCTGGGGAGTATAGGACTAAAGCTAACATTACTTAAACGCAATCCCACATCATCAGTCATCACAACCATTATATCTAAAATCATCACCGCTCTCAGATCAATGATTTACATTCATCTATCTTCAATTACAGTTACTTGTTATACTAAGTATGCACGTAATACACTATTGGGCACTATCATACGCATTTTTTTCTACTAATCAGATGGCGTCAATCTCTTATAAATGGGCAAGGGATAAAAAAAAGCTTACCCGTTAGGCAACCGACGCCACCAAATGCAAGAAGAATGGGAAAGTTTTAACATTACACAAATAACTTCATGTACGTGGATGCGGGTAAAGGTATTCTTTGGCATATTAATTTGAGAAAATGCAGGTTTATTGTATTTTCTGGTACCAAAATCTTTTTTAAACAGTTTGACCTAACTTTTATTTTGATAGCTTCAGTATTTGTGAGATCTGGCTTATTTTGTCAGGTAGAGTTTACAAACAGAATTTTGAGAAAAATGGTTTTTACGTTTCCCTTAGATTTGGATTCAGTTCTAAGATACAATAATATACACTGGCTTCCAAAAGAAACTTTAAAATGCAATCACCCAATTATCCTGTTAAAGTCTTGCGCTACCAAGTCACGCATCATTCCAATTTAAAGTTAAATAAATTCTGCATCATCTCTCAAAATAATAATCCATTAAACTTTATGTTAAGAGACACCCGAAATATGGTCACTCAAAATTGACCTTAATAAATCAGACTTTGCAAAATTGTGCGAAATCAAAGAAACGTTAAAGTGTGTTTGCATCTATTTTGAGGTGCATCAGCATTAGGGAAATGGACATGCATTGAAATCAAGATATTATGAAAAGAGAATATAATTGTCTCTGCCATGAACAGCATTTTCATTTTGATATTTTCAAACATATTGGAAAAGAGAGCGGTTACAAATACCAGTCAAAACCTGGACTTAACAATAAATGTGCTCATTAGTATGATTTAGCTCTGTTTTAGAACTATTGCATTCATGTAGAGCACGAAAGCGTTTTATGCACCTGGGCTGTGTTAGTCAGATATTGGACATAAACATATTATGTCAGTGAGGAACAGAGGGCACGAAAGTGCCTTCGGTCAGGGTGGTCTGGGGTGGAATGAACAAAACCGTCCTGGTGAGAATCACCGGATGGATTGGTTTAGTGGACTACATCGCGCATGTGCTGGAAAGTCATGTCTTACCCTTATTTTCATCATGGTATCATTTAAGCAGACATCTCCATGCATAGAAAAGCACTTTCTCGTAGGGCTAATGCCACTAGACATGTTTTGAAGTAGAAATCAAATCAAAGTTGGATTGGTCACCAGTACTTTGCTACGCATGGAGATGTCTGCTTAAATGACACCATGACATGTACGTGAAGTTAAGTTCCATGAAACAGCAGCTGAAGAAAAGTGGCTTTGCTCCAAATTCAAAAACTTTGTTTGCCACTATCTGTGACATTTAGGATGAAATGAAAAATAAGTATGTCCTAAATTTAATAGAATCGGTGTCTTAAGAGTTGGTGCACTACACAAAACCAAAGGCTCCTAAGCTAAAAAAACAAAACAACAATGAGCACATTTGATTTTAAGTCCTGGTTTTGCGCTGTTTTTGTGATTGTTCTGCATGTTTTCTATTTTGTCTGAAACTATAGTAACAAAATATTATAAGAAATATTGTTTATTGCAGATACAAAACTCTCCATTCATTGGATATGCAATGTATCTCCAATCTATCAATATTGATGCTCCTCAATACACGGGTGAAGACAGTTATTTTATATTTCTACGATTTTGCACAATTTTGCCAAGCCTGAATTTTTACGGTCATATTTGAGTGACCATTTTATTGTATCAGGCGTCTCTTAAAATAGATTAATGAGTCCGATAATACCGAATTTATTTAATTTAAAATATGTGTGTTGCATCAGTGGATAATACAAAGCATTAACACGATGATTGGATGGTTACATTTACACGTTTCTCTTAAGCGCCACTATATATATATATATATATATATATATATATATATTTATACATATTTATATATACACATATTATAAATAATAAAATGAAATAAAATAAAACAGATCTACATAACCCAAAAACATAACAATCTCTATATAATCAAAAAGCATAACAATGGTGAGAAGTAGTTCACAGGTGTGGCCACACCTTCTTCACAACGCAGTACGTTATCTCAGGGCACCACTGTCACGATAAGCCGACATGTTTCAATTAGTGCAGGCAAACTCGTCCAAGAAACGCTAGATCTATCCGGTGACCACCGTTTTTTGGACCGCCGTCTCTGGTCTAGTGGTCAGAAGCTTTTCTGTCGCAGGCAGACCCCAGATCGATTTCTGAGTGGGGAGAAATTTTCATCTAGCATCTTGGTCTTGCTGCTTGGATGTTTCATCCTTCTCTTCCCGGGTTCGCCGAGCCAGGCAGAGTTCGACGCCTGCCCCCTAAAAAAAAAATTTAAAAAAAAAAAAAAAAAAAAAAAAAAAAAAAAAAAAAAAAAATATATATATATATACATATATATATATATATATGTGTGTGTGTGTGTGTGTGTGTGTGTGTGTTTATATATATATATATATATATATATATATATATATATATATATATATATATAATATATACATTTTTGTTACAGTTTTACATGAAGGGAAGTTTATTCACAATGCATTCCACTTGGTTGTTCTCATCAATTTCATAATCAACAGAGTAGTTTCTATCGTTGTCTTTATGTATAACTGCAGTCGAAAGTGTCTAAGAGGGCCGGTCACAAATTGTTTTTGTGAAAAGTAGTTGTCTTAATAAGGTTGATATCTTGAACAGTGTCGTTATAACATTATACTGCAGAGGGCGCTATTAAAGTGTACTTCATTATTATCATTATATACTCGCACAAAAAAGTCAAGTAACAAATATTCAAACAAGAGATAACTGAAGAACAGTTTAAGCAAATGTATCAATTCTTTCAAAAAAGATGCTTTTGACTCTTTAGATTAAGGGTGTACAATGTCAGATTTCAACAAAAACGAGAAGTGCGTGTAAAATGAGGTTAAGTCACACTGGTCGGATTTCAAAAGTCTGAACAGCTATAGTTCTTCATGAGCATTGTCAATAGTGGGAGTAGCCAATCCGTTTGATCAAACACTCGGCAGAGCATCGACGCATGGACAGGACATGCCTTCGGAGAACTTGTTGCGGTGAATTTCGCCACTCCTGGACGACACAGCCCAAGAGCTGTTGAACGTTTTGTATAGGAGGGTGGTTGTCCCTTATCCACCGGTCAATGTGATCCAAAATGTTCTCTGTTGGGTTTAAATCCGGACTACAAGCTGGTCAGTCCATGCAGGTGACAGCTCGCTGCTGCAGGAAGTCCCCCACGATGTGTGCGCGATGTGGTGTGGCGTTGTCATTCTGCTGTACTGCCTGTGGTCTAATCTACTGCAGAAGGGGAACAGAAAGGGGACGCAGGATTTCCTCCCTGTACCTTTGCCCTAATATGGTACAGTGGGTCTTGTGGTGAGTTGAGAAGCCTCCCCACACCAGAACGGACCCTCCACCGTAGTGCGTCATCTGCTTTATGCACCCAGGGTGGAATAGCTCTCCTCAGCGCCCCCAGACGTGGGCTCGCCTGTCTGTGTGCAGCAGGTTGAATCTGGATTCATTCGAGAAGACCACCTGGTCCCCCGGACATTGTGTCCACTTTGAATGGCGAGCAGACCACGCACAGCCAGCTGCTTTGTGAGGAGGCGTGTGCCTTGGGTACCTGGCAGGAACACGAGAAGCGAACTTGGCTCTACTGGTACAGTTCCTTACCGTTTCCTCGCTCTCATGGACATTGGCTGTCACCCATAGTTTGACCTGATGCCGTTTGCAGTGGTGGTTCGTGACGTCACGACCTGTCTGACGATGAACCGGTTGATGCTGTCGTTGGTAAAACGGTCGAGGCCTGTCCTGGACCCTTCCGGTAGCTTGCCATCGGACTTGCAGCCTCTATATGACTGATGGGGACACCCCAAGACGATGTGCAACGCTTGGGAACGTGGAGCGATCTTGGAGCCAGGCAAGGGCTCGTCCTCTGTCGACGTTAGGCAGCGAGCGTCGTTGGACCATCGTGTTGTAATTAAACATGACTGAAAAACGCTGGCTTATAAAGAGTTGTAAGTGAGCAATATTCACAGCTAAGACATCTGTTTAGCATATGCCAAGCTTAGTTTTAGCTAACAGTCCCTATGCCAAAGTTGCTGAAGTAGAGAAATTTAGCCCTTTTTCATACTTTTCGGCTGTGTTTCAGAAAGCCCTGCGCCGTCACTGTGAAACTGGTGCGGGCAAATTTGCTGTACAGGCAAACTGTGTCTAGTCATCAGTGCGTGTGTCACGTTTGGATGACTGATCTTAACGGGTTTGTGAGATATTGAAGTTTAAATGTGACAGGTGAAACACTAGTTGTTCCTTGACTGTTTTGAGCGAGTTTATCTATTTTTATCGGTATAATTATCTTTGTAATTACTAATATTGCTAGTATTATTATTACAAGATGCAGACTCGTTCTACGAACGCTGATATGATAGTGATATGAAATCCCAAGATAAATTGTTTGTACCGGATTCATTTTTCATTGATAAATTGAGGGCAAGCGAGGCAGGGGTAGGCCCAGAACAACATACTTAGGGAGCCTAAACAAATGGGTAACAGGGAAAGATCAGGGAAACGTAGCTTTTCTGAGACCATCCTAGTAAAGGAATGCATGGAAAATCATTATCGCCGATGTCTGTCGCAGATCTGGCACTGGATGATGATGATGATGACCGGATTCATTGTCGCCGTTTTACTCCCCAATCATATTGTTATAAGGTGTTCTCTAAACCTTTCTTTCAACCACACAATGGGCCACTTTTGACATGTGGGGTGTGGCCCCATCCCACTAGAACCAGGACTCTACAACATAACACCTTATCCCCAAACTTCTACGAAATTTTCTCAGCACAAAGAGATATCCATCCTAACCTGTGACTGCTGTTGTTTTACCGCCCTTAGTGTCTTGAAAACAGAACCGGCCGATAACGCCCCTGTAGCTGGACATAGTTAAGAAGTAAAATGTTGCGTTTTACCCCATTTTTTGTAGAAATGTTAAAACTTTACTGTTTCTCAAACTTATTGATTAAATTTTCTTTATATTTACAAACCAAACTTGATGTCCTCAGGGTTGAAGGTTATTCGTTCGAATTTTTTGTCAAAATTATTGTGACAATTTTAATGAACACCCTGTGTAGTAATAATAATATGTCTCTCATTCACTGTGTGCCATATCGCCTTACAGGCAGGTTTGGAGTGGCTTGGACTGCTCATCTGTGGCGCTACAGTGATCTCTCCGCAATGGCTCCTGTCGGCCGGACACTGCTTCACAACGCCTGTGGAGTCTGCCTGGGCTTTTACCGTGCTGTTGGACCTCGTCAATCGGACAGTGGTCAGTCCCTCCCACAGGAGAAATGTGGAGAAGTATGTGTTACATCCGCGCTTTGACAACGTCACCTACGACCATGACTTAGCCCTGGTAGGTTGGGAACCGCTGAGACAGGAAAACAGCTGCTTAGCTTAGGAGTTTACTAATCAATTTCCCAGTGTCTGGACACTAAATGTTTTCTTATCTTACCTTACCATATTTTATCGTATCTTATCCTATCTTATTGATGGAAACTTTTTCACGCTCTTATTATTATTTACAAGATAGTCACCGTTTCCATGCCAACCAGTTGTTACATTCAACTGTGCAACTTATTAAACATTATATTTTAAATAGTAGCCATACAATTATAACTAGCAATCATTGTCACGCTTTTACTTTTACAATTCAGAAAACAAATTGTAGCATGTAACTTCTTTAACGTTAAAAGTGGACGGACAGATAGAATGGGTAGGCATGGGTTTACGAGAGAGTGTAGCTTATTTGTAAGGAAGCGTGGTGGAATCATCCTCTCGTCATTTTTTAGGCATATAAAGTTATAGGTATCATCTTAAAGCTTGTTCCCTTGTCTTTATTTGGATGCAAAAATATCCATTTATCTTGAATACAAGTCGAGATATTTGCAAAAGAAGGAGGTTGGGGTCACCTGTTTTCAGAGAGATTAGTGAGAAAATGGCCGCCAAAGATTAGTTATTTCTTCAGCTTAAGAG